CAGTTTCTGCACTTGGCCTTTGGCCTCAGGAAAGGGATGCCACAATGGAAACACAAAGAGAAACAAAGCAATTAGAATGCTTTTTAACTTTTAAAGTTCAAGGTTCTGGCGTATGTATTGGTTTGGAAGAACATTTGCCTCTCCTTCCCACCAAGGGAGCAGGGGAGAGGAACAGAAGGCAGAGGGGTGGTCACAGTCGCCCGGGGGTGGGCTGCGGTACAGGCTCCCTGACCCCAGACTGAACTCCAGGGCGGGAGGGAGGGAAGAGAGGAGGAAAAAAGGCGTGCAGGCCACAGAGGAGCTCTGGGCCTCGCTCTTCTAGGAGGGGCCCAGGAGAGCGGGGACCATGCAGAGACCCAGCACGGGCCGTGGCAGTGGACTTGGAGGCCACGCGTGGCTGGGGCAGAGCCTGAGGTGGCCTGAGCCTCCTGTCCCTCCAGATAACATGAGGGAGAAGCCACGAAGTCTTTTCCTTTACTCTGAAAGGGTGTGGGAGTTAACTGAGAAACAGAGCTGGTGGACGGGAAGGCTCTCCATGAGCGTGCAGGGACACTTCAGCGGGAAGTGGTTCTGATGAGGACAGTGACGTCTTAGCAGATGTCGGGTGCCCAGACGGCTCTGTGGGCCACCTCCAGGGTCATGACACTGTACCTAGCAACCAGCAGGGTGGGGCGTGGGGGGTCCTGAGACAACTGTGTTTAACAAGACACTGTCCCTCTTTACCTAGTAACTGTTTTCTGCCATCACTTGAATACTTGAAGTAGAGGTGATATGGAGTTAAAAAATAATGTTTTTTTGCATACCTGAGTGATGGCCCAGAGATTCTTATTCGCCTCAGAATTCGCTCAGGGGAAAACAGCCTGGTCAGATCTCCTTCCCTGCCTTATGCTCCCCCCTCCCCCGCCCATGCCATCCTGCGGCCCTTGGACTTCCCTGAATCCCACAGTCTGTCTCCTTTTGGGCTGCAGCATTCCCTCTTCCTCCCCTTTTAGACTCCGGGTCCCTCCGATACGATACGGGATGTCTCCCAGCTCAAGTCAAGCCTACATTCCCTGCAGGGACAGCTGGGCAGGCGGGAGAGGCAGGCAGCCCTGGCCTTCACGTCTCTCCTGCAGCCTCTGCCCCCACCTCCCACCCACATGGAGACCCTCACTCAGGATGTGGCCACACAACCCTCAGCTGACGGTGTATTCTGTTCAGTGTAGGTTTTTTAAAATAGTTTTATGGTCACAGGCTAGGATGTGAATGCCAACCAGTACCCACGTCTGCTCATGCAAGTACTCCAGCTGGACTGGCAGGGAGATGCGCCACGAACCAGTGCCTACACAAACCATGGCCACGTCTGTGGAAAGGACTCTTTACAGTGTTGAACTTTTGTGCCAGGAATCATGAAGTGTGTGTCAGCTGTCATCTTCCCTCATTTTTTACATAGACAATTTCCTTGAGCTGTGCGTGGATTCGTGGTTACCACCCATGTACCAAACTGCTCCTAAGCCGGGGACAAGAGAAAGAGATGCAAGGAAGAGGTGGGGGAGAGATACTTTGTAACCTGTCTGTACGTGGAGGTACATTTTATTTCAGTGTGCCTTGAAGTGGGAACCTCAGATGACTCCCTAGTCACATGAGGGAGCTCTAGGATCAGGAAAGACAGTCTTGCTTTTCCTGAGAGAAGGTGCGACACAGAGGAAAGAGCAGCAAACGAGAGAAGGGATCCCTGAGCTGGGGTTTCACGTGCCAACGCTCACTCCACGGGTGACCAATCTCAATCTCCTCCTTAGAAAGAGAAGGCATTACCTTCCCTGAATACCATGTGGGCCTATTGTGAGGGTCAAATGAGGAGAGGCTGCTTTTAGTCTCAGGTGTTTGACAGTCTGTGGACATAGGACCAATGAAGCTGTAATTGGCGAGCCTCCCAGGGTGTTTCTGAAGTCAGACTACGATGGTAAATGGTAACCAGTTGCCTGATAGATAGACCCAGGCTTTTCAGGATGTTCCTTATTTACACATTCATGAGCATTATTCTGACCAGGGGTCTGTAGTGGTCACTAGAACACCAAAAGGCTCCCCAACCCAAAATGGTTAAGAACTATCCTAGAAGGTTGCTGGGGCTCATAACCCTTTGGTTATGTGCAGTTTAGAGACTGCCTTTTTGCAACAAGAATTTGAGGCCATTGAAAGTGAAGACACTATGCAAAACACCTCTCAGAAGGATGGGAGAGCGAGGGTGGAGGTGGGGGCGAGGGGGATGGGGCAGCAGAGGGAGCAGGGTTCGGTGGAGAGGACGAGGAGCCTGGTAAGAACTCGAGGTAGGTTATGCTTAGTGGCATTTATTTCCCAGCTTCCTGACAATCAAGACTCAATTATACAGGTGCCATTGTGTGACAAAATGAAGCCTCAGAATGTCCCAGCACTGAACTCCAGAGAAACAAATTGGCTGTGAAGACCATCTCACTGTGACACGTCATCAACCCGCCTTGGCAACCCTGTCAGTTGGGGCCAGCTGGGCAGTGACCGTCCCTCCCAAAGCCACAAGCTCGGCAGGAGGATCCATGCGGACCGAGAAGGATGAATCTCCCAGCACAGCTCTCCCTTCCCAGCACCACCGCCTGCTCAGCTGTCTCCCTCCACTTACATCTTCCTCCAGGGGCCTGGGGGCAAAATGGAGCCGTGTCCTGCCTGCCTGATAAGCCTGGAGCTCCTGAGCTGGGGCAGGACAGAAGCCAGGTGGGGAGAGACCTGCCCAGCCTCCTGAGCCCGCTGAGCCGGAGGAGAGGGACAGGAGCACCGCCGTCACGGACACATCACAGACACAGACACGTCCAGCAGGGGCCCTGGCTGTACTTCCAGGGCTGGCTCCATGGTCCACAAGGGCTGCCTCAGACACACTTACCTCCTCCTGAGTTTCCTCTGCGCGGCTGTCCTGTCTCCGCTGCTCCTCCGGGCCAGTCACAGAGCCTGCTGGAAGCTGCACTCCAGGCAGCAGGAGCCCCGCACAGAGGGAGGAGCTATTCAGGTAAGAGATGCCACTGGAGCAGAGAAAAGGACCTTCTCTCCACCCCTCTGATCTCCCCATCTGTTTGCTGTTACCTGAAATTCATCCCAAGAGTTCCATGATCATCAACCTCCAGCTTTGGAAGGCAGCTATGCTCACCACTATACCACCAACGCTACAGCTTTGATTCTATTTAAGCAAATTAAAAACACATGTCTTCCCAGAAGCAGCAGCTGTTAGTTATTTTAGTTTGACTACGGCCTAGTCAACCAAGTGGAATGAGAATCCCTATCCTTTTTAAGAGTCATACTATAATCCTAATTTGCTTAAAACTACACATATATCCATAGAAAAAGAAAGACAGGCATCATCCACAAAAAGAGCAAGAGTGGTTACCTCTGTGTGGTGTGATTATAAAATATTTTTACTTTATGGTCTCTTCATTTTCCATCTTTTCAACGTACTACTTTTGCAGTTAAAAAATAAATTGTTAGAAATCAATAAAAATAAGTAGCATTTGGAAATCTTATTAAATCAACATAAATTGACTACAAAAGAAAGAAAGGAAGGAAGGAAAAAGGAGGAAAGAATGAAGGAAAGGGCCTGTCAGCCTTCGGTTTGAGAGAGTTTTGCAGCCCACCTTCAGCTCCTGCTCCATCATTTGTGTTAACCCAGGCGAGATGCAGGGTGGGGAAACGGGAAGTGTGGCTCAATCACCTCAAGAAAGAAGTAAGGGAATCACATGGTGAAGATCTCAGGAGTCGTCTCTGAACTGCTGTCCCCAGGGTGTCCAGCAGGGGGCAGCAGACCACTGTGAGCAGCTGCTCTGACAACAGCCATCTGGTGTCACCAAGGGGATACCCCTAACTTCCACATCAGGTGGGAACCATCCTCTATGTTGGCGGCTCAAGAACACTGTGCCCTTATAGAGCTGCCCAGATAGAAAATGACTTTGAACAAGTTAATGATGTGTCTCCAAGAAACCCACAGTCAAGCAAAATAGAAACCCAAAGTTTCTTCCAAAGTCGTATTTTTCTCAGTTTAGAAAGGTTTCAAAGCCACCATTTATCTGTTTTGTATATTTACTTATATTTGGCTTTATTCCAAAAGGGATTTAAGGCAGCTTCGCCTTCACGAGATCTGTTTCATCCTAATTACATAGGACAAAGGAAACTCAGAATCTGTTCCTATTTCCCCCAGGTAATGGGGCTGTTTTCTGATAGACATCTGTCTTAGTGTTTGCTAAAATTAAGTAAAGGGAATTTGGTCCAAGGCTGAGAGCAGATGAATTTGGAATGAAAACCCAATAGCCTTGAAGTGATGCCAATAGGGAAAAAAAGTGAGATTTCAGAGTGGTAGCAGGAGGCCAGCACTCCAGTTGTGAGACCTGGCTCTTCCTACCAGTTTGTCATTAGGCTTCTTACACCTGGGAAAGCCGCAGCCCCTCTCCAGCAATTAGCTTCGTCTTCTTTAAAGAGGATAGAATCAGGTAACGTGTGGGGGCCCTCTTGCCTCAGATACGGGAAAGATGGGAACAGACGGGGACTTGCGGGCTCTGCAGGGAAGGAAAGGTGAAATGGGTTTTGTGCTTTGGGGCATAGAAGTTTGGCTGGGGAAGGCACTGGAAAGAAGTTGTTCTTGATAATATTGTGCAAGAAGTTTGGAAATCACAGCTTGACCCTTCATCTGTCAATCTAGTTCCAGCCTCAGCACCTGTGGACGGGGGCAGGAGGCCGAGGGGATGGTTGGCACAGTTTCTAGCCTAAACTCTTTAAGCAAATGCTGGGAGGGTCCAAAGGCACCTGCCCAGACCTCCCTGGAGCACCCCCACCGGCTGCCTCTGAGCACCGCATGGAGCTGTGTGAAGAGCCCTGATCTGGAGCATCAGACCGGCTGCTGTGGGGTCCCCTGAGGGAGGGCACAGCCATTTCAGTCCCCACTGGGTCACCATTCACGACCACTTAGAAAAGAACGTGCACGTCATAAAGAGTGTCAGGCAAACACGGAATCTTTTGGTTTTAGTCTTTACTTTCATTACCAAACAATCTTTCCTTTTCATTACAAAAGTACTAAACAAACATGGACAGAAGAAAGCTGACATTTGCAAACTATGTGCCTTCAACCGGCGTCTCAATAATCCCATCACCAACGCCCACGTGCGAGGCAGACACCAGGAAGGTAATTCTCAGGAATCAGGACTATACCATAAATGCACGATCTTTTTATTTCATATAAAAATGATCAACACGAGAAAAGCCAAGACTGTGTCTGTCGGTGTTTTACACTGACGCTCGCAAGAGCCTTCCCCTCTGGCCAGGCTGGAGGGAGAGGCAGCCCAGTGTCTCAGCAGTTCACTGAGACCACGAGCCAGATGTGGTGAGGAAAGTCGAGAGCGCCAAAGTCCCTGGCCGGCGCCGGGCTCGGAGGGGTGGCCAGGTGGCGCGGCCGGGCGCTTTGCTGTGCAGCCGCGGGCTCCTCGGCCAGGCCCACTGGAAGGTCACCGCGCTTGGCCATGCAGGGAGCCGTGAGCAGGCCGAGCAGCTGTCCCAGCATGTCCGCCTCTAACCTGAGCACGTGCCCCTCCGGCCCTCTGAGGAGGAGGCACCGTCAGTCCACTGTGCCGTTGTAGGACTTGTTGAACTTGTTGAAGGTGAAGTCCACGGTGTGTGTGGAGATGGGCTTCCTGTACAGAGGGTTCGAGGCCTGCAGAACAGGGGAGGCCAGAGGACATGTGTTAGTTCATTTGTTCGAACATGCAGAGTCAGGGCTGGGGGCCCTTCTCGGGTCAGTGCTGTTGTGCTGCAGGCCTGGCTGCCTCAAACCTGCCGGCCTGGGAAGGGCCCTCCCTTCCCAGAGCTTTCTGTCTGTCTCTGCAAGGAGGGGCTGCATCAGATGGTCTCTACAGTCCCTTTTAGCTTTAACAGAAACTAACTGGGGATTCGGGGGCACTGACTCAGTGCTCCATCCTTTGGGAGCAAGCAGTTTGCTTGGGGACCCGAGACTCACACACACAGATCTGTGACAGACTGAGCACTTGGGGTCCTCTCCGGGACTGTGTCCAGACCATCCAGACTTCCTGCTGATGCTGCGCTGAGCGCCTGCCTGTGAGCCTCCCAACCCAGGTCTGGCACAGGGCTCTGTGCCGGGCATCCAGGATTGGGCAAATACTGCCTGCGATCACATTTTGCCTTTGTTTTCAATTCCAAAGATGTCAGTGGGCTTTTGTCGGCTGTTTGAACACAACTGGACCCCGAAGCCTGATCATTTTTCTACTTCCAACTTCCCACTGGCTTACCATTTCGTAGCGGGCCCGGGATCGCTCGCTCTGGAACTTTGCAAACTCTCTCCGGTCGTGGATGGTGACGAGCAGCTTCCAGATGGCCAGGAGCGCAATCCCAACCAGGAGGATGCTGCCAACCACAACCAGGAGGATGGTCATGGCATTGGGGGCAGTTCCACACTCTGGAAGGGACCAGGGCACGGTAAGGAAAGCCACCAGCATCACCATTTCCCCAGCCTCCCACCCAGACCTCAGGCACGTCTGTGATGAAGGGGATGCCTCTCCCCAAAGGCCTCCCCTCGATGCTCTGCGATCCCCGCATTGCTTCTGGGAGACCTGGTGGGCAGGCAGGTTTCTCCAATGCACAAAAAGTGAAAGATTCAAAGAGGGCTGGTGACTGTTCTAAGGCCCACAGCAATCGATGGCAAAGCCCAGGAGAAGCCTGGTGGCCGCTCCACTTTACTCGGGCTGTGTGTGCACGGCTGCATCTCCCCAACCTGAAGCTCCCACACCCCAGCCTGGCCTCGCCTTCCGTACAGGACGCTGGACCACATCTCAGCTTTCATGTAAACAGTTTCAGGAGCAGACTGGACAGGCAGGAGGTATCATGAAGCCGCTTCCACAAGGGCTGGGCGAGGGGCCAGCCAACATTTGTAAGCCCTTAGTGTGGAGCCCTTTGGAGCAAATGTGCTTATTTTCAAAGAACCACAAAGACAGCCCTTGGAAACAAAGCCTCATTCTTACAGGCGTGCATCCTGGGCCGGGACCACAACACTTCCCTCTGCCTCTGGCCTAGGGAAGGCACATTATGTGGTCTGGCCCCATATGGAAAAACAGTTTGCAATGCTGTGAATTGAAGAGAGCAGATCTTTTTCTGCCCCCTACACCCCTGACTCCTCCAGAGAAGAATAAAAGCGGTCATACCCAAAACCCTAATTACCTCAAGGAAGGGGACCAGGGCATGAGGCAGAATTGTCTGTGCTGGATTAGAGTGTGCCGTCCTCAGTGGCCCAGGGAGCTGGACACGGCAGCACTCCATCTGCCCTTCTTAGACTCCACGCCAGCAAGTGCGCAGCCCAGCCAGGGCTGCGTGTGCCCCCAGATGCTCCCTGGTGCACGACTGGCCAGCCCAGCCCTGGTGGTCCGGACCCACCCTGCACACTCACACCACCACCAGCCATGCAGGTGACGTGGGTTCTGTGCTTACTATCACCCCTGTGACCACCTCCGTCAAGACGAAACACTCCCCCAGGGCAGGGCCCCAGCCTCCTGTAACTCCCAGGACCTCAAGCTGTGCCCCCCAAGCTCCACGCCAGCAGTGGGCCCCCAGATGTACGGCCATCCTTCTTCCAAACTCTAGCATTTGGGGAGGGGTGACCTTAGACCTTGATCTTTGTAAGGAATATATCTCTCCTCTTTCTCAAGTATGGAAAGGATGGTGAGAACAAGTGATATGTCAGAAACCGAGCCCCCAGCGGAGGAGAGAGCTGGCCCCCACCCACCTGGCTCCCTGAGGACCGTCAGGTTGGACTTCCCACTGGGGAGCTCTGTGTAGGTGAACATCATCACACAATCCTTGGCAGTTTTGTAGAAACAGAGCACAGCCTCCTGGTCATCTTTCACTGGAAGAAAACCAAGCAGAAACGTCCTGTGTATGTCTCTGAGCAACTCAGAGCCGCTGACGGACAGGGTGAGGATTCGGACCCCTCAAAGAAGGAAGGGGGTGCAGAGAGGCTTAAAGGGGAGGCTGGGCCTGAAAGACGAGGCCAGCTTTCTCACAGCAAGAGTGCAGGCCCAGGTGCTGAGTTAGCTTCTCTGGGGACATGAATTTCCTTCCAAGCAAGGGAGGCCCCTCAGTCCTCTGCAGTGCTTGCTGGGGCGACATGGAAGGAGAGGAGGCAGGACCCCGGGCGGGACTGAGCAGCGAAACTGGATAAAGAGAAGAAGGGCCAGGCTGGTGCTCCTGGAGGCCGAGTGAGAGCTCACACGTGAGTCCACTGGGCCGGGAGCTGGCTGAGAAGCCAAGAGCTGGCAGCTCTTTCCTGGAATATAAAACCAGAGAGACCCACAAGGAGACGAGGATGTCTGGACGAGAGGCTGGCAGCCCCCGTGGGGCCTGCGCCGATGCACAGTGAGTCAGTGCCGGAGGCCAGGGCCAGGCCGGACACCGCTGGCCTCGCCTTGCCCCCTGGAGTAAGAAGCCCCCTTCCATGAGCTGCTTCCACACCACCCTGTCCCCACACAGCCGTTACCCAAGGCAGAGGTGTCACAATCCCCCCCCCCAGCCCCCAGGTGTTATCTGCATTCCAAGGCTTCCCTGGGACGGGATTAGACTGATTTCTAGGAGGGAAGGGACGCAGGGAAGAGTGTTAAGAGGGAGGCGGGCAGCGCGGGAATGGCCTCGGCCCTGAGTGACGGCTGCGGGCCAGGCTGAGACGCCAGGTGCCTTCCAGCTCTGGCCTTCGTGAGCCTGTTGCTCAGAGGTGCTTCCACCTGGACCGACACTGCTGTGGGTATCGTACAGGGAGGCCGGGGCTTTCTCTCAGCTCCCAGTCCTAAGTCCAGTCTGGGTGAGAGGGCGTGTGTGTGCATGAAAAGGCCTAGGCGAAGGAAGGAAGGAGGTAACTGGGGAATTTGAACAGAAGCCCTCTGTGAGCAGCTGATCCATCTCAGGGGCACAGGCTGCGAGGCAGCTGTGCACGAACGGCTGCGTGAGCGAGGGAACTGCTACTGGGCTGCGGGCAGGCATCGCCCTGTCTTTCCTGCGTGTGCCTGGTTAGGGGCAACGGTCCCAGGGCTGCAGGCGGAACTGGCTGGGAGCCAGGCCTCAAGTCACTGGACAGAAGCAGGGCAGGCAAACGGGCTCCCGGCTGGCTCCCAGGTCCAGCACAAGCCCTGGCACAGTGATTATGGGTTGGCTGAATACATGACTCGGCATCCTCAGGAGCCGGGACCTGGCCAGACAGAGCAGTCAGTCAAGACCAGGGAGGCAGGAACGTGGAAGTCTACACAGGGGGCAGGTCGGGGCCAAGACAGACGAGCGGCCGGGGCAAGGAGGCTGCAGCAGCTGAGGGCAAGGAAGAGGGCAGGGCTGCCTGCAAGGAAACCTCAGAGTAAGAGTCCCTTTGGAGACACACACTCTTTCTTCCTCACCATTGTAACCACTGTAAAGTTCATCATCCCATAGTTTTAGTATATTCACCACATTGTGTAGTTGTTCCCACTAATTCCAGAACATTTCCATCACCCCAGAAAGAAACCCCAGAGCTCTTACCACTCAGTCCCAATTCCCTTCTCTCCCCAGGCCCTGGCGACCTCTAGTGTAGTGTCTGTCTCTGTGCTTTCATCTATTCTGGACATTTTGTAAAAATGGAGGCATACATGTCCTTTTCTGCCTGGCTTCCTTCACTTAGCATAATGTTTGCAGGGTTCGTCAATGCTGTGGCATGTCTTAGCACCTCATTCCTTTTTAAGGCCAAATAATATTCCATCGCATGGATGTACCACCACGGTTTACTTTTGCATTTATCAGTTGATTTACATTTGGGTTGTTTCCAATTTTGGACTGTTATGAATCATGTCACTATGAACACTCACGTACAAGTTTTTGTGTTAACGTATGCCTTCAATTCCCTTGTGTATACACCTGGGGTGTAACTGCCAGATCATGTGGTAACTCTATATTTAATCTGGGGGGAGCCGCCAAACCGTTTTCCAAAGTGGCTGCATCATTTCACATTCCCCAGCAGCACACGAGGGTTCAGGCACAGGCTCACTTGGACTGGATGTAACTAGAGTTTTCCAGACCGGCACTAAACCCCGTGACGTGTCTGTAGGGCTAAGGTGTGTGATCTGCAGCCTTACCCTTAGAAACTCCTCAGCCTGGACAGCAGTGGCTGTACCAGGAAAGAATGGACGCAGCCCAGAGATGGTGAAAACAAACATGTCTGCACCTCTGTCGGAGCCTCCTTGTGGGCTCCTGGTCAGAACTGGACCTGTGGTCATCTGAGCAGCGGTAAAGGCATGGCTGGATGGATGAATGGATGGGGTCAAACTGCAGCGGCTGGAACAAGAAGAGCCTCGATGCAAGCTGCCAAGCAGGACAATGGAACAGGGAGTGGGCGACCCGTCACCGGGAGAAGCGCCAGGGCGGCACTGGACCCTGGGTTCATCCAGACTGAATGCGATCTCTGCCTTGTCCGATGCCGGCAGCACTGGGACAGCTGGCTGGGCTGAGGTCAAATGGGGCAGAGACTGGCTAGCTGGTCACCAAACATGGTTTCCTGGCTTCCTGGACATTTCTCGCCATCCTCGCAGTTAAATGTGGCCGGACAACTGGGCTCTGGGTGCAGGTTATGGGCACCACTTCCAGGTCTGGCCCATGAAGGCCCCCCGCCTGATCCCTCCCTGTCTTCCCCACTTGCTGACTCAATGGAGGGGATACCAAGGACCTGGAGGAGGGTGGAACCACCATCTAGAGGGTACCTGAGTTCTGCAGGACCACATGGAGTCCTTGTCAGCATCTTCACTGGACTTTCAGTAGTGACAGACCGACTTATAATTTGTTAAGTCACTGAGGTCTGGGGTTGGTTTGTTGTGGCAGCTAACAGCACCGATTCTAACATGCCAACTTCAAAGGAAGCCTGGGAGATGAGGCTAGGAAGGGACTGGGCTCCAGGAACCGGACAGAGGAGGTCTTATACCTGGAGAGCCTGGAACCACTGCCCCAGCCCAGACGCCCCAAGTCCTACGGGGGAGCCAGCAAGGACTGGCCAAGGCGCTGAGGCTGCTTCCTAACTCAAGGCTAAAACTACCCCGCCTGCCAGGCAGTCCTGACGGTCATCCTCGTCAGGGAGAATGTCTCTGTGTGTCTGCCAAGATCCTAAAGGGGCAGCTGCCCGGGGCCACTCAGCACACTCACCGATGGTGTCCACCCGCGTGATCACCTCATCCTTGCACAGGTTTTGGCAAGTCTGGTTGTCAGCTGAGCTCCCTGAGTGAAGCAGCAAGCATTCCACACAATCTCTTTGGAAAAGAGGCAACAAATGTGGGTGTTAGACGCGGTGTAGCAGCTGCACGTGGGTAACTGCGTGCGTGTCCCACGAGTGCGGGTCCCAGCCCTCCTGCCTGCCCCTGAAGGCTTCAACCTCTCCCATCTTCAAATGTTTGGCCTCAGGGACTGTTTCTGCCTTGCCCTTCTTGTTGCCATCACACGGGGAAGCCCGAGGGCTCTTGGAGGAGCATATGTGAGTGTATGTGCATGTCTGTCTGGTCCACAGGTCAAGCTGCAGGTTGGAGAGATTTCAAGTTCTGATATCAGGAGCCAAATCCAAACAAGAAGTTCCTGATGATGAAAGTGTGCCCAGCCTCGAAGAGGGGTCCTCACACCCCTACAGCCCCAATTCCCAGGATCCCCACCAGGGAACCTGGCTGGGACAAAACAGCCAGCTGACGGCAAATTTGCAGGGAATCTGTGAGGTGATGGTGCTCGGTGGCCTGCACGGAGGGTGAGAGCCCCTGAAACAGGGGCTTCCCCAGGAAACGGGGTGAGGAATGCAGAGCCAAGCGTGCTGGGAGGGCCACTGCCACCCCCAAGCTGTGCCCCGGCACCAGAGTGCAGGCGGTGGCCTCACAGCGCCTCGGCCACATGGGGGACAGCAGTCCTACCTACCCCACAGGCCTGTGGGGACCAAAGGGGCTGTGTGTCTGGAAAACTCCCCGGCAGAAATATGGAAGGATGTCCAGTCACAGTGCATCACCTTTATTGTTATCATTTTTAAATTCCTTGGGGTGAAGAGACCAGTTACGACACTTCCAGCGCAGAAACTGTGGATGGAACGCCAGGCCTGGAAGGGAGCTGGGGGCCATTTAAGTCACCCGCATTTTACAGGAGAGGGGAATGAGGCCAAAAAGCAGTCAGTGGCCGCAGGTCCAGCACCCAGGCACGCGCCTCTCCGACAAGTCCCTCCCGAGTCCTTACTCTCTGTCTGAACACTGAGGAGGAACGGGCGAGGGAGTGGATCGTGGAGAGAAAGCAGGTAAGACTTTTTACCAGGGTTCTAGTATCATATGCTTAAGAATTCACAGAACTGGCTACAAAATCCTACTCTCCCGGGAATGACTTCCCGGAAACATTTTAGAGTTAACAAACAAGTTGGTAATTTTTGCATTTGAGCCCCAGTGGGCAGGCAACTGAGACTCAGCTGGGGACCCGGGAGGGATGGCTCCAGCTCTGGTCCTCCAGCCCCTGGATGAACACACTCCAAGGAAAGGGGACTGCTTCTGTCTCCGCTAGGACTCACCGGCCCTCCATCCGCAGCCCCTGTTGTCATGAAAGCACAGGGCCACTTCCAGGAAACATTCCCTAATTATCCATGTGGACGTATCAGTTCAACCTGTGAGCTCCACGTACTGGGCTGAAACTTGTGATGTACTGTAGTCGTGTATTAAAATAAGTCTGGCCTTTAAGCAAACAAAGTTGCTGAGACAGACTTCACTCAGAGAGCCTGTTAATTGAAATCAGCTGAGGCTGAACGTGAACTCACCCAAGGTGAAGGGTGTGTTTGGTTAGCTCTAGAAAGTAGAGACGGGCTGTCCTGAAACCCTAGGGGAACAAAAGCACATAAGGCATTCGAAACCTGGTGGCTCTCAGCAAAGCATTAAGTAGAAAAACAGTCTGATATAAGGAACTATCAAAGGGATAAAAAAAAAGCTACAACTAGGGTGTGAAAAAGACAGAGGGTCAGCGTGGCCCAGAGACAAGTGAGCAGGAATAGTGAGCTGCTCCGATGGCATCTTTGCTCTCCTCGCTCCTATGGTATTGCTTAATGGTTAACAAATCGAGTCTCTGTCTTCTTGGAAATGAATGCTTTAAACAGTTAAAGTTTAGGTTGTCTTCCCAAGGGCCTTTTAACTGATTTAAGCTAACCCTTGCTGCTCCAGAGGAAGGGAAGAAACTGGCCTTATCTGCTTTCATTGGTTCCATGTGTGTCTCCTAGCTTGGCCCCCACCCCCCAGTAGCCTCCTGTGCCCCAAGGGCTGGGAGCATATACTCGAAAGGGTTCCACTGATGGGAGCTGGGGGGAGGGCACCTCCCTCAGGCCTTAAATGTTGATAATGGCCGCAGTTCCAGGCTCAACCAGCCACAGCTATTTGGGCTCTAGGTCCAGGATCCTAACCTCCTCCCCTGGGATGTTACTATTTGGATTTCTCCTGTTTCTCAGCTCTTAGTGGGTCTAAAGTGGAACTGTGTTTCTTCTTCCTTACTCTGCTGGCTCCCCTCTAATTACGCAAAATAAAATCCGGCCCCGTCTCTCTCTTCTCTCCATCTGCAGCCAGCTTTCAATTACCCTGAATTATTTGTGGCAAACATCCAACCCGGGGTCCCGCCACCCACCACATTTCTGAGCACGGCCTGACCGGCAGCCACGGCAGCTCGGGGAGCATGAACTCCTCTCATTAGGAGCCTGAGCCAGGCGTTTGGAAGGGAAACCTGCCAAGAAAATTGCACAGTTGCGTTTCCCAGCCAGAGAGAAACAACGTCGGCATTATTATTTGTTTCTGATGATCTGTGCCCTGCTTCCCTTTCTCCTGGCCCCTGAGCACGGGTGGTGATGGCACCACTGTTTCTCTAGCAAAATGCAAGTGAAAGTGTCATCGTGCGTTCCTGATGGCATAACTCCCCGATTTCTTTCATTCCCTCTCATTCCCACTCCGGTGGGGTGTGAAGGGCAGCGCCGTGGGGAGGTCAGCCGGGGAACGTGACCCCATGGCTGAGTCAGTGAAGGCCTGGAGCCTGCGTCCAGACAATCTCTGCACTCAGCAGCCGTGCAGAGACCCGCCCCATTATCTGTGCAAATGGAGCAGAAAATTCAAAAGCCACTGCGTTTTGTTCCTGGCATGCCTTATCTAGGTCGGTGTCCTCCTATTCAATTTACCTTCTGATTATGTGTTGTTTAAAGCAGCATTTCCCATGGAGGTCCGTGAAGCATTGTTTGGGAGATGTTCATGTGACGGAGTGGGAAACAAATTCATTTGGAAAAAAGATGCATGCTGGCTGAATCCCCTTTTGAAATACTCAGTAGCCCTCTAAAGACTCAAGAAGATGTTCTTTTGGTACCAAAATCAGTTTAATTTCATTTAACTCAGTAATCTGGTAATTTCTAAACTTGGTTAGGAAGAGCAATCTTTTTGTTGTTGTTGTTCTGTTTTTCTATTTTTTAACAAAATCCCCATGGAACCAGTGTTTCAAAGATACTAGTCTAGTTAATGTTTTGCTCCTCAGGAAGGCCAGGTGGGGCAGGTGCAGGAGACGGGGAGTGAGAGGCTGGCCGGCCCTGACGGCTCACTGGGTGGGTGACAGTCCTAGTCTGAGGGAGAAGCTGGAGAGGGGCTGTTACCTCTTGGTGCTGCAAGCATCGGGGCAGGTCGGGCACTTCTCACACGTCTCCCCGAAGGCTCCTGGCTCAGTGCACTGGCACTGCCCGCAGACGCAGTGCCCACGGTCACTGCAGATCTGGCCATCCCTGGCCTGGCACGTGCTGATGTCTGTCGAGCAGTTACAGTTGTCCCCGATGTAGCCTGCGTGGCACTTGCATTCTCCACAGTGACACTCGCCGTGGCCTAAAGGGACACACGTAGCACATCAGCACCTGCCTGCCCGCACAAACATGCAACCAACCACCCAGTGCCTGGGTCCAACAGGATGAGACATTGGTGGTGCAGTCCCCCGGAGTCCGTCCGGGCAGACAGAGAGGGCCTGGTGCTGACCCGGCGTGGCAGCAGGGGGCCTGGGCAGCGCATGTGTCTAAGTTGGTCTAGAAGTTGGCCAAGTTGTGCCACAGGCTCTGGACCCAGAGCTTCTCCCTGTCTCTGTTCTTATGTAAATAATGGCCCCAGAACCTGTGAATGATATCCCGTACAGCAAAGGAGACTTTGCAGTGCGATTGAGTGAAGGATTTTGAGGTGGGAGAGTCTCCCAGATTCCCCAGCTGGGCCCTTAATGCCATCCCATGGGTCCACACAAGAGGAAGGCAGAGGGACAGCTGACCACAGAAGGTAGGGGTAACGAAGAGAAGCAAGATGCTGTGCTGCCCCTTTGAAGGTGGAGGAAGGAAAAGGCCTCGAGGAGCCAAGGAATGCAAGGAATGCAGCTCTGGGAGATGGAAAGGCAAGGGAACGGATTCCCCCAGTTTCCAGAGGGAGCGCCGCCCTGCGGACACCTTGACTTTAGCCAGTGAAAACCGTTTCAGACTCTGACCTCCAGGACTGTAAGAGAACACAGCTAAAGTGTCACTAAATTGGTGGTAACTTGTTACAGCCATGAAGGAAAGCAACACAGTCACTGCCCTCAGTCTCAGTGAGACGCTTGGCTGGTTCCTGCTCTGGCCTCGCAGCCGTGGCCCAGAGCAGGATGACTCGGGGCAGGTGCGGGGGCAGCAGCGGTCAGGGCTAACACTGAACTCACTGCGTCTGTGTCAAGCTTTACAGCATGAACTTGAGGAATTCTTACAACCACCCATGTGGAAGGGACTGTCACCACCCTTGTTTCACAAGTGACGAACCTGAGACGCAGAGGATGAAGCGGCTCGCTGGGGTCAGACAGCCAGTGGCACGAGGACTCAAACCAGGGAGTGTGGCTGCAGGGCCCACGGTCTGAACTCCAAGATCCGCTGCCTCTCAGGAGAGGTCAGAGCAGCCCTGAGATGAGGACCGGCTGAGGATCCCCTGCTCCCCCTGCAGGAGGAACCTCTTCCACAGCCTGCAAGGGATGTGGGGCTGGGCATCCCCTCCTGGTTCTGCGGCACCAAGGGCAGAGGAGCTGCTGGGCTCAGAGGCCTGAATGAGTGAGTGCGTGCACCCGGCACGTGTGTGTGAGTGGGTGCGCATATTCACGCTGGAGAGTGAAAAGCTCAGAGAGTGCCAGCTTCCAAGGGGCACAAGAGCCCAGCAGTTAGTGGTTCTCCATTCTCTGCACTAACAGAGGCAGGAAGCTACGAATGGCACTTAAGTTTTAAAAATCTTCCTGAGACTGTTATTGCAGCATACTTTCCTTCCTGATGCCGTTCTGCTAAAGCTAGTATTAATAGGGTCAAGAATTTGTATTTACTGAGTCCCCACTGACATACCAGCAGGAGAGCAGACAGGCAGGAGGGAGCGTGGGACCGATCAGGCTCCCACCCTGAGTCAGTTATCCTGCTACTTGGAGCTCAGCACCTGCTGTGAGACCCCCAGTGAGTGTGACCCACAGTTTAGGTCAGGACCTAACTCCAGAGAGCCTCTTCACTCCCACTTCGGTCCTGTCCCGCCCTGTGCCACGTCTGCTCTGTAGTGCCCAGAATCTGCAGGAGGCAGGAAGGCCATCTGGAGCCACCGAGCCTCCCCAACCTCCCTTACGTGCGGGACAGCCTCTCCGCTGCCCAGGGACTGGGAGCCCGGCAGACACTGTGCGGGGACAGAGCGCCCTCCTACGTCACGGCCAGTGTGGAGGCATGTGGCAGCCCTCTGGGAGAGCTGAGGAAAGCCAGGTCCAAGCCAGGAGGAGGCTGCGCAGGGCCTGGAAGCTGGCGCGTGATGTGTGGGCCACAGGCAAGAGCAGCACCCCTGCTCAAGGGTTACAGGGCACGGGTGGGGGCGTGCAGCAGAGCTCCTGGCTGGGGGAGGGGAGGCCTGCATGCCTCTCCTCTCCACCAATCCCGGAACTGTCCTGGCAGACAGGAAACCACCCCCCACAGGAAGTCTTCCCAAATGGCTCCAATCCGCACAACTCCCTCACTCTCCAGCCTCAGGACCACATTGGTCAAGAGCCTGTTTTAAATTAAAATGGTTCACTGTCAGGTTAATTTCCCCCCAACATTTTATTTTGAAAATTTCCAAACCTGCAGCCAACTTGAAATGACTGTGCAGTGAACAGCCATCTACTTACCACCCTACTCCACCATTAGCATGTTGCCTGCTGCTTTATCCCATACCTGTCCATCCCTCTATCCCTCCATCCATCCATCAATCCACATTTTTTTAAATGCATTTCAAAGTGAGTTGCAGCTATCAGTGCACATCAGGGGTAGGTTTTTAACAGAGCTCTGGCCTCTCCGTGGCTTGTACCTCACACCACCCCATAAAATAAAAATACAAGAAGTAAAAGGCATGGTTGGTGCCATATTTACAAGCAGCAAAGACACTACTCGGGCCAGGGGGACTGCTTTGTTGGAGATGATGCGTATTGTTTTCCTTCTCCTCCAAATATTTCTGGCAGCAATGTGATAAAATGAACCCAATAAAACCTAACCCAATATTCCAAAGTGTCAGAGGTTTGGAGAAGAGGTAGTATATGATTTTGCTCTGGGTGAAGGGTCAGGGTGTGTGCTAAAGGGAGAAGTTGCTCCCCTGCTGGGCAGCTACTGTGAAGCTGCCAAAGGTGCCAGCTGCCCCATCCTTTCCCCATGACACTTAACTGGCAAGTAAACCCAGCTGCCTTGGGTACACCTGACACCATGCCAGCTCCAAAACCCAGTTCAAGGGTTCAAGGAGAGAGAGAGTTGGGGATCCAGGGCAGGAGACAGCAGGAGCTGGTGATCCACCGAAGGTCACCGCCATTTCCTGGAGAAGGACAGGACTCACTGCCGGAGACACAGCCTTTCCTGACAGCCTCCCGCCACGCCCGAGGCCGCAGCGTACAAAGACCTGGGCGCGGGCAGGGCCGGCTGGGTGGGCAGCGGGCAGGCGCTGCTGAGGGCTACAGGGCATGCGAACGTCCTTCGTGTGGCTTTCTGGCCTCAAACATGCGCCAACTCCAAAGCAAGTCCCAGCAGCCACACTAGGAAAGAAGGCACGTGTGGTGAAGTGGCTGAAGCCACCTGAGTGCTTGTCCTCAGGGACCCCCTGGATGGCCCCAGTTTAGTTCGTCGGGTAGTTCATCGCCTTTCAGAGACAAGAGTAAAGCAGCTGTGGCAGAGGTGCGGCGCGGGCCGCCACGCCCGCCCTCCCTCCCCTGGCACCGTGCCGGCGCACCAGGGGCCTCTCTCCCAGGGAGCCTGGGCTTGGCCTCAGAACCCTCAACACTGCACTCCCAGGGGGCTCTACCAGCTGAGGGGGGCAGGCACACAAGATACACCCACTTGTTATCCCGGTTTAAAGCTTCCAAGTCTCCTTTGAAAGTGTGATCCACATAGAGTGTCAAAAACACTGTAAGTCCGGTCTCATTTTATCCTAATCCAAGTGTCTGGGCCTCAACCTGTCTTTCCCTTGACCTGCATGTGGGGAGATTTCCACATCTTCTGGTCAGCCCTTGGCCTCTCCTGATGCCCTAGTAGTAACACATGTTATTAAAATGACAAGGGTCATTTGGCCCCATCCCCAAGCTCAATGATCCATCAATCACCAGGAGAACGGAATGGGGAACAGGGAACACGATCCTGGCTAACGGCACCCAGAGGACCGAAGCAGGGGCTCTTCATCAAAACACAGCTTATTTATAATGCCCCCCAACACCTGGGCAAACTGGGCTGAACTTAATGATGCCTGTTTAATACTGTGCAGACGTAAAAAATATTTTCATTACACACAGACAGGGATATTGAAGGGCATGTGCAAGCGCTTTGTAAGCTGTGAACTGCTGCATGTGCAAGTTATTAGTACCTTTGTTAGAATGAGTGATAGCTAAATGGACAGGAAGTTGTAAATGTGTCTATTTATAGAGAATTTCAGCTCGACAGAATTCAACAGCTTTCTATCAGCAAAGCAGTGCTTGTGTGGGCCGTGGGCCAAGAGCAGGCCCCTGCTATTCAGAGGCAGGGGTACCCTTGAAGCAGGCGAGGAAGGAGCTGCCAGAGAGGAGGGAGGGGACGCGTGAGGAAACCCCAGCATCAATGCTCCGTAGGGGTCAGGAAGGGCAAAGGTGAAATCCACTGACAGAGCAGGGAGGAAGTGGCCTCAGTGAGCAGAGCAACTCCCCCAGGGAATCTGGCTGTGCAGGGAAAGGAGGAGATGCGGGGAAGGAGGCTGGGGATTTTGAAGAGGGGATGTAGTTGAGCATTCTTCTGATTAAAGAGAAAGATTCAGAAGAGACAAAGTTCTAGGGGAAGTGGAGGGAGGGAAGAGCAAACTCCAGAGATTACAACAGGAGAGACAGTGGAGGGAGAGGGCAGCTGGGGGGTGAGGGCTGTGGCGGGAGGAGCTCAGGGTAACAGCTGCGTGAAAGGCCGGCAGCTGTGCTGGAGCCAAGTTCAAGTCTGTCTCCACCATCAGCTAAGTCACCTTGGGCAAGTCCCTAAACCTGACTGATGATCATTTCCTCATCATCAGTGAGGACAAGGCCTTCCTGGTGGGAGGGTCGTCAGAAATACTGGTGCTGTTGTTGGGGGAGAATAGGTCCTTGCCTCACGCAGGAAAGAATTCAAAAGCAAGGCATGGTAAAGTGAACGCAAGTTTATTTAGAGAGATACCTCCATAGACAGAGTGCAGTCTGTCTCCCTCAGAAGGGAGAATGGCTCAGGAGATACACACTCCATAGGCAGAGTGTGGACCATCTCAGAAAGGTGAGAGGGAGAGAAGCCGAGGTGTGGGGTATTTAAAGTAAAAGCTGATACGTACTCCACAGAGTGAGGGCCACCTCAGAAGGCGAG